TATTACAATCAAATTAGAGAGCATAGCATGTCTTAGTCACTTATTTTCTTGGATTCATCACTATCTAAAATCATCGATGTATGGCTTTATGACACGTAAAGTTTACAATTTATATACCCCGAGTAACTTGTTGGCTTTAACCTTGGGGTCCAAATCAAATTTTTGTGTGTAACACACAAGTATGAATATAGTTAATATTACATACATCTTTTTCATTTTTTTCTTTTTCTTGTTCTTAAATGTTTTTTTCGAAGATTTTTTATTTTCTCCTCCATCTCCAAATAATTGATTTTATTTATCATTTCAGACTTCTGATAATTTTGTATTTGTATGTACTTTCATTGATTATTTGATATATGTTCATTTCACTACTTGTTTTATATAACTTTAAAATATCTATATGTAAATCATACTTTTTATTTCTATATACTAAAATTTAAATAATATTATTTAAAGTGTTAATTAGTTACTCAAAAATAAACAATTACTCCCTCCGTCCCACTGTTTTTGTCCACTTTTGATTTTTGAAATTGTTCGTCTAAGCACTTTGACTCATCAATTTCTCTCAATGTGTAAGCCTAAATATAGTCATGTGTGATCTTGTTTGATTTGTCTTAACATATAGATTATTAATATATAATTTCTATAATTTTTTAATATACAAATTATAAGATAAAATAGATTAAAAAGTACATTAAATAATGTACCAAAAGATAAATGGACAAAGACGGTGGGACGGAGGGAGTACTTAATAATTTAGATGGAGTATTTTCATCCTGATGGCGGATGTGTCTATGTGACAATGTGAGTGACCGATATTAAGGGGTGAAGCATTAATGGCCGTGGGGTTTGACCCATTGTCAACTACTCAATCATACCCTACCCATTAAGTGATGATGATGCACCCCAATTGAAAGTTTGAAACAATTAAGAAAAATGGTTTGAGGTTTTACATGTGATCATAATAAATGTATATTAATGGCGTTATCATTTTATTCTTGGTCTCCAAAAAATTGTCTTTTTTAAATAAGTGAGTAAAATTTTATCTTTTTTAAAATAAATTTATTTATAAATTAACATAAAAATTAAAAATACAACTCGCATATATAAAAAAATATATAAAATATTCACCAAATAAGTAGTCACATAATTATTTTATGTTAGAGTGTATCCCACATCGGAAGTTCAAGAGTAAAATATTCAGTGTATAAGTTCTTGAGTTGAACTAACTAATTGATTGGATTCCAATCTTTGAATGTGGTTCAACCAAAATGTTCTATTTTACTTAATCCAGTTATCGTTACGCCATCCTAAATTCTATCATGGTATCGAAACAGGTTTTGGCACATCTCGTTTGTTAAGGTGTCTGTCTAGACGTTCATTCCTAGCAGCCCTTAAGTCTTTAGTCCAGTTGTCCGTATGGAATATGTACCCAACGACATGTGGCTCGTTTAACACGATTGCTCGTCTGAAAGTCCATACACAGTGGCTTGTCGTCCTTTAAGTGTTGGTGCTAAAAAAATCAAGAAAATAAGAGTTCATTTGCAAGTGCTCAATCGGTTAGATTCAAAATGACCCGGTTGTCCACTTGAGGGGGAGTGTTAGAGTGCATCCCACATCGGAAGCTTACGAGTAAAATAATCGGTATATAAGCTCTTGAGTTGAACTAACTAATCGATTGGATTCAATCTTTTAATGTAGTTCAATCCAAATGTCTTTTTACCCAATCCAGTTATCACTATCACATTCTATATTCTATCATTTTATCTTAATAAATAATCAATAAAAATGTATATGTAAATAAAAGTTATTGACAATCTAAAATCATAAAGATGTCAATTATTTTGAGACGAAGAGAGGATATATGTGAATATAGTATTGCGCTCCGTATTTTTCTCAAATTAAAGTTTTCATTCATTATTCACAAGAGAGCACCAGAAATACACATGACGCCCCCTTGCGTTAAGGGGCGTTTAACACCATGGGGGCGTCAAACATCGCCCCCTTTGCAGTCATCCGGGCATCAAGCTTGTTGATTTAAACGTTTGAAGCAGCAGCACAGTAGCATGCGACGGTTCCCCTCTCCCTAACGGTCCAAATTATGGCCGTTGGCCACAATTAATTTTTTTTATTTTTAATACTATAAATATTCCTTATTTTAAACACAAAAACAACATAATGTAATTCTCTCTATAATTCTTCCAAAATATATTCTATTTCTTTTAATTCTCTCTACAAAACACTAAAAACAGGATCATATTCATCTGGCGATGAAAGAAGAGCTCTCATTTTTCATTGTTTCACGACGGACTGTTACCAATGATGGCAACAAGGCCAAAAAGAGGAAGCAGAATCATCACAGTGCTCGACCCGATGTGAGCTTTTAAACCGTGATTGGGCGGTTGCACACGAATCACTACTCAATGATTACTTCAATACTATATGTATTTACACGCTAGAGAATTTTAGTAATTGTTTTTGGATGAGTCATTCTTTGTTTTTATGTAGGCATACTTGCCGATATTGAACGCGAGTGATGTGACAGAGAGAAGGTTTGAAGTCCTGGGGCTTCATGAGAATTTCTAGTGCTCTGATCAAGTTTGATATAAAGATTTAAATTTTAAAGATATAAATTTTATTTTTAAATTTCAATATATATTTTATTTTTTAATTTTAAATTTCAAGTTTGACATAAACTTTTAAATTTCAATATAAACTTTATTTTTAAATTTTTAAATGTCACCTTAGATTACCAGTAGTTTTTGTTTTAATCTTAAAGATATAGATTTTATTTTTAAGCTTCACATATATTTTCTAATAGATTAAGTTAAAAGTAATTTTAGTCAAATGTCATAAATTGAAATAAAAAATTTACTTTGGACAAGACAAAGCTTGAAATAAGGTTTCAGACATGAATGGGCTCAACAGGAAAAACATGGAGGGGTTCCCGCTTTTTCCGTTCTCGCGTGGAGGGGGGGTGGGCGTCAGGGCAGTGTTCCCCTTTCTTTCCCGCCCCACCTGGCACCCGCTTGGCACATCACAGAGCCTTAGAAGATAAAAACCTCATAGAAAATAAAATCCTATTTGGTTTCATTTCTTTTTCAAAGACATGCTTAATAAATTATAAATATGCAAGTTTATCTATACTATATTTAAAAAGAGGGGAATTCCCCATTACATTTTCTCGTCTAAACTTTTCAGTCACAAAAGGTAAATTTTAAAAGTTAAAATGGTAAGTGCAAAATGATAATGCACCGGTGCATGTATAATTTAATAGTTTAATATGTAAGTGCCGTGTATAAGGTAATTTATAATTATTTACTTTCTCACTTTTCTTTTATAGTTATTACTGATTATTAATTATTATGGTACCGTGTAATAATAATAATAAACGTTATAATAATAATAATAAATGTAACATGTGAAACTTTAATAATAATATGGTATTAATATGGTACCGTGTAATAATGATAATAATAATAATAATAATAATAATAATAAATGTAATAATTATTGGTATTGTGCCTAATAAAAAAGGTAACATGTGAAGTTTTAATTTTTAATTATTAATTATTGATAAGGTAATTTCATATCCTATAATTTTTGGTACCATGTAATAAAAAGGTAACATGTGAAACTTTAATTATAAATTATTAATTATTAATAAAGTAATTTCATACCTTAAAATTTTTGGAACCATGTATAATAAAAAGGTAACATATGATAGAATAATAATAATATGGTAATAATATGATACCGTATAATAATAATGATCATAATAATAAACATAATAATGACAAAGGTAAGTTAGTTTTGTGCTATTATCGTGTATAAAATAAATGAAAGTGTTTACTTGGTTTAAAAAAATGTATTCTCATACCTTACATTTTTTTACCAAAATTATAGAATATAAAATTAATTATTAATTATTAATAAGGTAATTTCATACCTTATAATTTTTGGTACTCTGTAATTAAAAAGGTAACATGTGAACTTTAATTATTAATTATTAATAAGGTGTTTCAAAAAAATTATTAATAAGGTGATTTCATACCTTATAATTTTTGGTACCATCTATAATAAAAAAGGTAACATATGAAAGAATAATAATAATATGACATCGTATACTAATAATAATCACAATAATACATGTAATAATAATAATCATAAAGGTAAGTTAGTTTTGTGTTATTACCATATACAAAATAAATGAAAGTGTTGACTTGGTCTTCAAAAAATATATTCTCAAACATTACATTGTTTTACCAAAATTATAAATTATAAAATTAATTATTAATTATTAATAAGGTATTTTCATACCTTATAAATTTTGGTACCGTCTATAATAAAAAAGATACATGTGAAAGAATAATAATAATATGGTACCGTATAATAATCATAATAATAAACGTAATAATAATAATAGTAATAATAGTAATAATAGTAATAATAATAATAATAATAATAATAATAATAATAATAATAATAATAATAATAATAATAATAATAATAATAATAATAATAATAATAATAATAATAATAATAATAATAATAATAATAATAATAATAAAGGCAAGTTTTAAAGAAACCGTTTGTTGCAGTTTCAAAAAGAACATATCATAGTAGTTTGAAAATTCTGATATGGAACAAATACAATGTTCACATAAATTTTACGAATAATATAGTTTATAAAGAAGTCTTTCAAAATTTGTAAGCAAAAAACTTTTGTACCTTAAAAGAATAAGATCTCTATATATTCTATTAGATATCATTTTTTTATCATTCAAAAATAATTCTAATTTAATAACGTAAATATAATTCATGCAACGGAGTGTGATCTCTCGCCTTTTTTTTTAAAATACGACGGAGTATTTCAATTCTCAACATGTCGAGTGGGCTCATTAATCAGTAATCACTATACTCCAGAGACCAAAACCGAACCCTCTCCTTTTATTTGGCCAGCCCATATATAAAAATACACCATCGGAAAAGTTTGACCGATCCATTTCCAGCTTCAGATATTTTGAGTTTCTTTTAGAAATTTCATCGAACACTTCGCGATCAAAAAAGGCGCAAGTCGACCTTCCCCTCCCATTACGTGTCGCGCCGGCGGAGCCTCCGATTGCCACGTGTCCTAATACCCATTTCCGCAAATATCGGACTCTCCATCTCCAGCTTTCCATAGCTGCGCCGCCGGCGTTGTTTGAAACCCTCCCCCCCAAAATGCGCCTTTTCCGGCCACCGCCACGTTTCTTGAAACATGGGCAGTCCAGATACTTCTCCGGTCAGAACTCCGGGCTGGAGAGGGCGGGTACAATGGCGTCGCTGTTAAAGACCCGATCCGTGATCCGATTCAGAGGACCCGACACCGTCAAGTTCCTTCAGGGCCTGGTCACCAACGATGTTCAGAAGCTTGCGGAGCCTCGGGACGAAGATAGGACCCACTTGGCCACCTCTAACGCCGCTTTCACGGCGGCGCCACCAGTCTACGCCGCGCTTTTGACTCCTCAAGGAAGGTTCCTCTACGATATGTTTCTGTACAGGCCGCCTCGGTCCGATGAGAAGCTTGATAGCACTGGTTCAGGCCCTGGCCCGAAGGCAGGCGAGTTCGAGCTCTATGCAGATGTTGATGGTTCTGTGTTGGATGAATTCATGGAAACACTAAAAAAGTAAGCTTTTTTATAATGCAAATATTATGTTCTTTAGTTATGGTGATAGATATATCTTCATGAAAAAATATTACTTTTTGGTTCTGTTTCAGTGATGGGATTATGGAAAATTATACCGTAGTGTGTTAGGGCTCTCATTAAAACTAAATTGAGAATCTTTTGCCCTTTTTAATGAGGGCTTAATGCTTAAATGATCTAATAAGTTCATGATTAATACACAGACAAATAGAAGTCGTAAATATATTATGACATGTCTTTAGATTAACAGTTATTTGCACAGATTATGAATGTCTCTGCAAACTTGCAATTGAAATGGCAGATAAGTTCTTTTAGGTGTGAAATTTTGGCCTTTTTTGGTAAGAGTTTTTGTTTTCTTGCTGAAATGACCAAATTTTGGCGAAAAGCACAAGTGTTTGGTAACATCTATGATCTATAATCTGTTTCACAAGTTAATGAAAATCATATGCTTTTTCTGCTAAGAAAGTTATGGCTTCCAAACTGAGCTTATGAAAAGATTTCACCTTTTTAGTTTTTTTTAATTAACTGCACTTTTGCTGGATATGAAGTCTCTAGTTGTTTTGTTGAGGGCATATTTCTAAAGAATGTGAGGTTTTGCTTTGGTGTAGTTACTAGTTAGTAACCAATGGTTGTTTCAAATTCTGGACGTATTTCTATTCGTGTTGCAGATATAAAGTTAGATCCAAGGTTGAGATTGAGAACTTGTCGGATGAATTTTGTTGCTGGCAAAGGTTTGGTAAGAATTTGAGTGCACCATCTGAAGAGCCCGAAGCCGATGCTGTTGGATGGGGTATTGGAACCGACCGTTCCAGTGAATCATCTGCTAGAGGAAGCAGCCATGGTTGGTCATGGCATAAAGATCCTAGGTTATATTGCCTTGGATTGAGGGGTATCTTTCCTTCCAACATAACACGTAAGTATTTTTACCTTCCGTCATAGGTTTGTTACTTTCATTTTTGTCACAATTTTATATGTGGATGGATAAGATCCGGAACAAGGTTATCCAGATACTATGCCATATATTCAAACATTCGATATACAATGTACCATGGAACTACTGTTGTTGCAGCACCTCTAGTTGAGGCGGATAAAGAAACCGCTGAAGAAAACTATCTTCTATGGAGGTTGGAGAATGGGGTTGCCGAAGGACCATTGGAGATTCGAAAAGGTTTTCTTTTCATCTCCTTTCTTTAAATTTTCAGCTGTGTTTTATCTCTCAAAATTCATTAGTAAGATATGTACATATCTCACTCAGGTGAATCAATCCCTCTTGAGTACAATCTTGACGCTCTAAACGCATTTAGCTTCGACAAAGGGTGCTATGTGGGCCAAGAACTCATTGCTCGTACCCGTACCCGTGGGGTCATCAGGAAACGCTTGCTTCCTCTCAGATTTCTAGACCGTGATGGGAATGGTAAGTCCCCTCCATTTTGCTATATAATATTTGCCACCCCTCCATCCCCCTACCCTTTTCTCTCTTTCCAAATTTATTTCCTTTCGCTTTTGTTAGTGTCAAGTAACCAACTCAATTAAAAGCTCATGCTTGTCGGTTGTGGCCCATAAAAGAGGTTTTTTAATATTTTAAGACGCCCACTCAAGTGCAGACATGGCTTCTTTGAGCCTTGCACGTGAAACTTTAATTTTTTTAAAACCGGGTGGCGGTTAGTTTCAAACTCAGTGACCTCTTTGTCATCAAGGCTCCGATTTCATGTTTAAGAACCAATTTAACCAAAAGCTCAAGCTTGTGGTTGTAGGCTAGGAAAGGTTTTTATATACTCTAACCGTTAGAATATAAAACCTTTTTGAAGCTACAATCACAAGCTTGATCTTGTGATTGAGTTTTCTTTGATATCTTTTAAGCCTTGTTGACCTGGTCATGAGTTCAGACATTTCCTAGGGCTACAATCACAAGTTTGATCTTGTCATGTTTAGCATTGACGAAAAACACATTTAACTAACCAAACATGTTTCTTTCTTCCCAGAGGTGGAAATGAGAGTTGCGGCGGGGTCGTCTGTAATTGATGCGCAATCTGGAAAGAAGGCTGGGACGGTCACGACTGCCCTCGGGAGTCGCGGTTTCGGGCTTCTGCGGTTGGAGTACGTGCTTATGGGTTCGGGTAATCTGGCCATACAAGACCATGAAGATGTTCAAGTCCATGCTGTTGTACCCAAATGGTGGCCTTCAGAATGGGTAGCTGATCACCAACCATAGGCTGCATTCACTTAAATTTTTTTCTTACTACTACTCTATAGCAAAGGTGCCTAATGTTTTCATGGATATACATATATTATTTCTTGTTTTTATATCTTTTCAAATGTAATATGGCCAAATAATATACTCATGTCACTTTTTTTTGTAGACTTTAAATGTTCCTTGCCCTATATCTTTCTTTTACTTTGACTTTCTTGTGCGCGTACAGACCTTTAATGTCTATACGTGTCTATGTAATACTTGAAGTCAAAATTATATCACAGGTTTGCCCTAGCACAACTGCAAATTTATGGTCTAGCACATTTTCTGGCGGGTAATAAAACTATTGCCAATTTTTTTTGCTACAATGACATTGAAACTTACATTAACCTTGTAGGACTTCCTCTGTCCCAATTTATAATGCTTGTTCACTATTTACAGAGTCAAACATTATTCACTTTCTTTCTCTATTTTCGTTAGCAATTTGATAAAATAAATAATTATTGTTACTACTAGTTTTATAGATCTTCTAATGTAATATTTTAATATGTAATTTTTATTTTTAAGTCTATACCATTTGTTATATAAAATGATTTAAAAATAATTTCAGTCTGACATCGTAAATCGAAACATCCACTATAAATAGGCACTATAAATTGGAACCAAGGAAGTATCTTTCAGTCTTGTTGTAATAAGTGGGAGTAAGAATTATTTAAAAAACATATCATTGTGTAAAAATGGTTACATAATTCATTAAAATCTTGCACAAAATACTCTTTTGCCAGTGATGTCTTTATTTACATAAGCTTAAAGTAAAGAGTAAAGACTATCAAATCAATCAAACAGCTTCATGGAATCCATCATGACCAACTCTCCCCACAAAATTTTGCCCCTCTCCGGCGAGTTCTCCATTGACGGCTGCCATCGTCGGCCGGTTCTCGGGAACCTCGTTCGTGCACGCCACCGCCACCTTCGTAAGCTTTGCCGCCTCGTTTTCGTTGAACTTCCCCTTAAGGTTTGGGTCAATAAACCCAACAAAATCGCAAGACTCGGCCGACGCCCGGAGCGAGCTTGTGAGCATACACTTCCCGGACAACACCTGAAGCATCACCACTCCGAACGCGTACACGTCGCTCTTCTCCGTGAAGCTTCCTGAAGTAATGTACTCCGGCGCCATGTACCCGAGGGCGGCACTCACCTTAAGTGCTGAGTACACGACGTCCTCCGCAAAGAGCTTCAGAAGGCCGGAATCCAAAATCACCGCGGAGAATTTTTCGTTGAGTAAGATTTTTTCCACCGATATGTTGCGGTGAACAATCGCGGGCTTGTTATCATCACAACTGTGTAAATACTCTATGCCTGCCAGAATATTAGCGAAAGAAGTGATCAGATTCCTCTAAATCAACAAGACTCTGATACCATATCAAGAAACCAACTCAACAAAAAGCACCAACAGATAGAATCATAGAAATGAAGAAAAAGAATATTAGGGAGCGACTCACCTCTCGCAATGCCCTTGATGATCGAAACTCTCGTGGGCCAGTTGAGGACAAAGCCGCTACCCTCTCCCACGTCAAGGTATCGTGACAAAGTACCTCTAGAGGCATAGTCATAGATCAAGAAACACTCTCCCCTCCCCTTCGAGCAGCAAAAACCCCTCAACTTGATAAGGTTATCGTGTTTCAACGACGTTATCATGTTTAATCCCTTCATAAACTCGGCCTCTTCGGACTTGCAAGCCGTGAGGTTTATGCTCTTAATCGCGACCACACCCCCGTCCTTGAGGATTCCTCTATAGACCGCCGAGAAGTTGCTCCTCCCTAGCAAATTCGCATCGGAGAAATGCTGGGCTGCCGACTCGACTTCTTCCACGTTGAACTTGGCAGTCGCGTCCGTGGTCATTGGGTCCCACTCTTGAGAATACTCTAGGCTGATGAGAGGGGTGAGGTTTCGGGGCAATTCCTTTGGTTGATCCGCATTAAGCCTCTTATCCTCGGATTCATCGACGGAGGTCCCCACTTTCTGCCTGCGCCACCGGTAGACGAATGCAATGCAAATCCCCAAACCCAACAGTGAGACGGTGGCAGAGACCACCCCAATGATGAGTATGAGGGATTTGGACGGACTTGAGCAGTGGGGTTGGTGGTGTTTGCAATGCGAGAGAACGTTTGCTGCCTTGGGAATGTTAACAGCTAGGGGCACTGACCCTTCGCCCGGATTAACCTTCCCCTCATAATCCAACGGCGTACAATTTCGTAATGACAAAACTCCAACCCCACATAGATTGGGGTTATTTCCTCCTTTGAATCCTCCTCCATTGAGCCTTTGTAACCCTTCAAGTTTGGTTCATAAGAGCCATTATAGAGAAACAAGTGATGAACGGAACAATAACAATAACAACAAACCCAGTAGAATCCCACACAAAGTAGGGTCGGGAGAAGGTGAGTGTACGCAAACATTATTATCCCTACTTGAAAGTAGAAAGACTGTTTCCAAGAAACCTCTGGTTCAGATACAAAAGTACAGAGTGATGAATGGAACTAACCGGGAGAAATGGGGCCGGAAAAGTTGTTATTTTGAACATCCAAAACCTCCAATGAAGGAGAATTAGCCAAGCTAGGAGGAATCGGACCGGAGAGCTGATTGAAGCCGAAATAAACTTCTTTTAGCAGTGCCATAGTTCCAAAGCTTGCTGGAATCTGACCTGTTAACATGTTGTGTTCCAAAGCAATATAACTGAGCTTCTTCAAGAATCCAATCTCTTGGGGTATGGAGCCTGTCAACTGGTTGTTGTTCAGCTGCAGCACTGATATAAAGCAAAATATCATCAAAATTAAATACATAATAAAGATGAGTCCCAAAAAAATTAACTAAAAATGAGGTGGAAGTATATTCATAAATCACTTAAACAAATTGAAAAAAGTACTGTACATTACTTTTTTACTTTTTGTTTATAATACAGTATTTTTTACTGAACGGATTCATCAAACAAGTGCCACTTTCCGTCCTTGGGATGTCCCGACACCCAAATTCTTTGTAAAATTTGGAAAAAGTTGGTGTTTCCCTGTCTCTTTATAAATACCTGTCCCCGTCTCCTTTGACTATGAAAAACTTTAACAATGAAATATATGTTTATATATCCAAAAAAACAATTTTTAAAATTTCAAATAGTGAGAATAGTGAATATCTACAAAATTGGGTACTCTGTAGGGATACACATCTTGCACACACTTAAGACCAGCCCTGCACAACATATTTTTTCTTTGACTTATATAAATATGCTCTAAATATCAGTAAATGTTTATATAGATAAGTCAGCATTCACTCAATGCAGCCACCACTACAGCATCATGGGCAGATCATTTTCAACCCTTCCTTTAAAGTAGTTTGACCGAAAAAGAATCCACAAAATTTTTATTTTTTAAAAAAAGAATATATTTTTTCATATGATAACATTCCCATCTGAGTATAACATTGCAACCCAATTTGTCATTCTGTATTAAAATGATCTTTCCATATGATAATGGTAAAAATTTAAAGAGTTCAAGAGTAGGTTGACCCATTACGTTGAAAGGTGTTATTTATTCAGGAAATTTACCTTTATTTTAATTAGAAAAAGGCAACAAAATTCAACAACTTTCAATAATTTATCTGACTTGTGACAAGCATATGTATTTTACAAAATATCACAGCAAATGGGTACTTTTAAAATATGTAAATTAAGATATGTTCGGAACCATCAGGTTAACGTTTTCAAACTTTGATAACAATATATGAAAAAAATACATTGTGTTATGATATACGGACTAATTTTATTTAATACGTGTTATGGTATAAGTTGAATATCCATATATTCATTTTGAAATATAGTTTTGAAATATCATAATACGGAGTGTATATCTATATATAAGCAATTAAGCAGAAAGTGGTCACATTGTTACATTTTGAAGACCATAAAAGATCAAACAAGGAGAAAATTTTCAGGTAGAGAAAGTGTTTAATAAGATCTATGAAGAACTTATTATTTATGTAGAGTGGAATTTTATAAATTTCCAGAAAAGTTAATAAAATGATTTTGGAACCAAAAGTGGCAAGAGATGATTTTGGGAGCTGATGAAGTATAAATTTAACAAGAACAAATTTAACAAGAATAATGGTACATATAAAGATCAAAGAAATGGAGAGTTTTTCTTTGAGAAATACCAAAGAATCTGAAGAATAAAAATAAAAATCTGACCTTGAAGGCTAGCCATTCTTCCAATCTCAGAAGGTATAATCCCAGAAAAATTGTTGAAATCAAGATACAGATCAGTCAACTCAGTGAGATTCCCAATCTCTCTGGGAATCTCACCACTCAACTTGTTGAACTGCAAGTAGAGACCGGACAAGCACCTGAGCTCCGCCACCGCCGGCGACAACTCTCCGGCAAGACCCCTGCTCGGCAGGGAAATGTTGCCCACCTTCCTGTGCTCGTTGCAGCCCACTCCCAGAAACGACCCGCTGCACGGATCGCCATCTCTGGTCCATGAAGAGAGAATCTTGTTCTCTGGGTCCAAGGAGGCCTTCATCTCCATTAAAGCGCTCAGCTCGGCATTTGCACAAACATGTTGCAGGCAAGAAAGTCCGAGGAACAGAATGGTCATGCAAACAAGATGTGAAATCATTTCTGGGTTTTCCTCGTTCAGAGGATGTATCAGAGTTTAAGACTGACAACCAGGATGTTTTGGGTTTTTTGTCGGAGTGAAAGGGAGTTCATGGCAGAGAGAGAGAAGGGGGAAACGGGTTAAGAGTTAAGACGGAGACACATTGCACAAAGCCACAAAGGCACAAAGTGTGTTTCTTTTTCTTCCAATAATTAATGATTTTTTTAAATCCATTAATTATTGATTTGTTTGCATAGTCATAGTACATTGTATGATTGTAAAGCATGAATCCCATTCTTCACATCCCATCAGATGGTCAATTAGACTTTAATCGTAAATTAGTGGCAGAGAGTGAAGCTCGCACCTGATATTTACAGACCTCTTATACTTAGTATGATTGACTTCCAGCGCAGTTACAAAGAATCGAACTCGGGTCTACTCTCTTGACACTTTTTATCTTTACCTACTGCACAATGTCGACCGACAGTCATTATACATTGTAGAATTCCCTTAAAATGAATGCTTAAATTTCCTTTGAAACAAAAAGATGAAAATTTTTGTGTGGAAAATGCATATTCCAGAATTAGTTTTCTACTTTTCCATTAATAAAATCGGCCTAGATCCGTTGCCACTTGGCAATGATGCGTTTTCAGTTTCTTTCAATTTTTTCTAGTTTTTACAAGTTTCTTTCTTTTCTTTCAACGTCTAACTTTTTTTTTCGACCTTAAAAAATACTGGTCGTCTCTAAGTTCTTATCTTTAAAATATGATATTGTTGTGAATGGATACCATAGATTTTCCTCTTAATTAAATTAAAATAAATAATGAACAAGTTGTACGGTAGGGTCGCTTCAATGAAATTAGACATAATTGGAACGAAAATGTTACAAGTGTATCACACAAAGTGCAACAACCACTTATAGTTAAACATTATTTAAGTAGGATATTTTTTTCAAACAATTATGGAGCACTTGGTTAGGATAAAGTTGTACACTTTTATCCTTGTTTCTTCTAAAAAAAATTTGGAATTCCTTGTTTCTTGTAAATAGAGAATTTTGAAAAACTGGTTTCTTCTTAAAAAAAATGACCTTCGGATTTTGACTTCTTAATTATTGACCAAACAATTATTATTATGATTTGGTTTCTGTTATTTCCAAACATTTTTGTTTCAAAATTAAAAACCGATATCATTTTTTATAATTTTCAATACATATATCTTATCATATATCTCTAAAACTATTAAACGAGTCCCAGATATCACGTTTCCTTCAAAAACAAAAAAAAAGAAAAAAGAAAATACTACGAGGCTCGTGCAGATGCATGGGTTACATCTCGCACACATTCAAGGTAGGCTCTTCAAATCCGTGTGGAATACTGCTATCATAATTCATTCATCTCAAAATAAAGACGATCAACAAAACGAGTTCTGCAATCAAACTTAGAGCTGGCAAATCGGCCAGTCAGGTCGAATTCGAGTTTGGTTATTTCGGGTTCTAGTTATTTCGTGTTCGGATTGAGAACTACATGTTCATTGCCTAGTATAATCAGGTTTAGATTGACCCAAGGATTTATAACCTTTATTTATTTTTTGAAATTTAAAGTAATTTTTATGACTTAGTGTTAATATTAAAAAAAGCAAATATGCAGAAATTTTGAAAATAAATAAGATAATTATGCAATATCATTAAATTTTTTGAATGAAATTATAAATTTGTATAATAAAAATGAGTAGTAAGAAAAAGAAATATAATAATAATCGTATACTTATAACATTATATTTCATATTAAAATTAGGCAAAATTCACAAGAATACTCCCAGAAATTTCAAGTTTTACATAAAATACTCCCAAATTTGTTTATTTACATAGTTACTCCCACATTTGTCTATCATTTACGTCGTTACTCCGTGATTGCTTCATCATCAGTATTTCTCGGGTGCATCTTTTTAAACGGGGTTCTTAATCTTTTTTTATTGAATTTAAATTAAACTAATATGAACAGACTTGATATTAAACATTAAAAAGATTTAGGAAGTTTGAAATCTGAATTTTTTTTAAAAAGTGATGGAAATAAGGACAATGATTAGGCTTACTAAGACGTGAGAAAGTCGATGGAGAGAATAAGTTGTGGTGAATTTGGTATATTAGAGTGAAAAAAATACATGTCTGCATTTTAACTGCTCACTTAGCGCAAAAAAACGCATCCAAGTAATACTAATGATTACTACCAAATTTGGGAGCAATGATGTAAATAAAAGAAAAATGTGGGAGTAATGATGTAAATAAACAAATTTGGGAGTATTTATGTAAAATCTGTAATTTTTGGGAGTATTCTTGTCAAATTTGCCTTAAAATTATCTGTCAGGTCGGGTTCGAATTCAGTTGGGTTTGACCTATTTTGAGCGGGTCATTTCAGGTTTGATCAAGTTCAGATTCGATCAACAAAATCTTTGTTTAAAATCTAATTTTTTGGGGTCAGATTTTGGGTCATAAACAGATCGGGTCATTTTTTGCCAAGTCTAAATTCAAACTTCATCCTATTTGAGTGATGATTATTCATACACTAAAGTTTTACAGTATATAATTTCTCACAAAACTATTTTGGCTTAAACTTACAAATACTAATAAAATCTTGCATTAACACCAATACTTACACCCCTTACTCATAGAGTGTTGAGTGAGACAACCTCGGAGTGGGGATTAAAACCAAAGGAACTCTCTTCTTCAAGACAATCCCAAACTTCTCTGAAAGCTCTAATTCCTCTGCATCTCCAGGAAGATTCCAATCAAAGGAATGAATCATGGTGGCAAGTGCATAGATGAACATCCTCTCAGCTGACCCTATTCCAGCACAGATCCTTCTCCCCGAACCAAACGGCAGATAGTCGAAACCCCTTCCACTGAAATCCCATTTCTTGTCACCCTCCGAAAACCTCTCGGGCCTAAACTCGAGAGGTTTTTCCCAAACACGTGGGTCTCTCTGGATCGCCCAGGCGTTCACGAACACGCGGGCGCCTTTGGGGACCGCGTACCCCCCAACGGTGCGGGTTTCGCTGGGGCAGTGTGGGACCAGGAGGGGGAGGGCGGGGTGGAGACGGAGGGTTTCTTTCATCACGGCTTGCATGTATGGGAGGTGATGAATGTGAGACTCCTCTACTATGTTGTCTCTTCCCACCATGCGGTCTAGCTCGTCTCGTAGCTTCGTTAGGACCTCGGGTTGCTTCATGATCTCGGCCATCGCGAACTCCAACGTGTTTGCGGTTGTGTCGGTTCCACCAACGACCAAATCCTGTTAACACCAGACAAAAATTCCAGATGTATTGTGATATGTCTTAACCAAAAGCTCATACTCCTTCCGTTCCACAAAATCCTTTCTCTTTCGTTTTTTTGCTTTCCACAAAACACTTCCACTTTCTATTAAAAAACCACTTTTACCCTTACTTTTTCATACCCTACCTATCACATCATACTTTTTCACTAATAACCAAACTATCTCATCTTACTTTTTCCCATTACATCAGGGGTAAAATTGGAAAATCAACCAAAATTACACTTTCTTTATTTTTTTCAAAGTCAAAACCGGAAGAGTTTTGTGGAACGGTAGAATTCAAGGTCTTTAAGATTTTAGAGACCTACTTCACAGTTACATAAACATTTTCAAAATGCTAAGAGTTAAGATGAACATTTACTCCATAATTTAATTAATTTATTTTTATTAATTTAATTGTGTGAGAGAATGTCGATTCATCGTTATATCACATAGGAACTAAGGGTCTAAGATCAAGGATAGAACTCATATAAGCATTCTACTCAATTGTCCAATAAGAGACCGATCAAATCACATAAAAAAAATTGAATCTAATAACTTATCTAATTCAGCTCAACATCTTACTAACTCTTTATTCTTTTTATAATATTTCCATGTGGGAACATTGATTTAGATTGAATAAAACAATGTGTCTGTTCGGCAATAGGTTCAATGTTTAGCTTCAGTGTTTGGTGAAATTCTTTTGACATTGGCTACTAATGTCATGATATGACCATAATCCATTTGAACATCCTACAACGCTCTCTGCTCGATTTTGAATTTGTTCTTATCCCCTAACCCACCCCCAACCTAATTTTGGGGGAATGACTAGGGGCTGAAGTGATGTGTAGGTAGCAAGTTGGGGATGGAGGATTTCGGGGGAGTTAGAAGGATAGGAATAACTTCGAAGATGAATGGAGTACTGTATGGCGCTCAAATGGACCAGTGTTGAAATTTGACACTCGTAGCCAATGTCAAAAGAGTAGTTTTGTTGAAAAGACTATTTTATCACAATGTTTGGTTTTACCATTTTCAAAATTAATCAATCCTATTAAAAAATTGAGCAATGTTAGGGTACACCAAAGGTGTTTGGTGTACCCTATTTGTCTCCCACCCCCTTCTCCACCACTCATTTTTATCTATTTTTATTTATTTAATTTTTTTTTAAAATTCTTGCCCATTTTCGTGGTAATGGAGGGAGTAGAAGACAGTAAAACTAAATAAAATGGTTCTTTCTCAAAATTAATCAATACTATTAAAAATGCAAAAATTCACACCAATACTTTCTAGAATTGCACGAGTTTATATAAATATTCTGAGAATTGAGATGTGTTTACATCACTGCCCAACATTTGGAGCATAGAAGTAAACAAAATCAATTCTCGGAGTAACGATATGAATATATGAAAATTTTGAGAGCATTAGTGTCACTTAACGAATCTCAGAGTGTTTAAGTAAACTTGTGCAATTCTGAAAAGTATTGGTGTAAATGAAAAAATTAACCAAAAAAATTAACCAAAACGCTAAAACTAAATGGAAATGTTCTTTCTCAACAAGGTGAATGTCAAATTGCCATATTAAAAGTCTTTGGATTTAATAATCATACCATTAACAAGGCTTTGAGATGAGTAATGGTGAAAGGCGTTTTCTCATCTCCTTCACTATCTTTCAGCTCAAGCAAAACCTGCAAAAAGTCCTTATTACCCTTCTTCTCCCCATCTCCCATCCCCAATCGCCGATCAATTACAGTCTCGAAGATCCCGTCAAGCTTAGCAACCAAAGCCTTCATCTTTCTGCAGACCCCTTGCAAATCAAATCTAGCCAATTTGGGATAAAAATCCGAAACATTCGGAAACCCTAACAGCTCCGACATTTCACCGACGATCTCTCTGAACTCCGATCCGATTCTCTCCCCTGCCGTCACGGTGCCGCCCCAGATCATGGCCGTGATCACGTTGAGCACGGTCAGGAACATCTGTTCTCCGATGTTCACCGGCTGCCCGGCCTGGCCGTGGAAGAACCTCGCCGCCCGCCTGACCTCCAGCCGCCTGAGGTGGCGGAGAGAGTCGAGGGCCGAGCTCCCGAGCATCTCGCGCATGCAGATCTTCCTCAGCATCCTCCACTCCGCTCCGTGCGGGGTCCACACGATGTCCCTGCCGCCGTATGTGGCTTCCCGGCCGGCGGCGGGGACGTCGCGGTTCGCGAAGGCGGCGTCGTGATCCTTGAGCACCGCGCGGGCCAGGGCGGGCGAGGTGACGACGATCCCCACCTTCCTGCCGAGCCAGACGGTGAAGATGGGGCCGTGGACTTGGGACAGGTCCGCGAAGTGGGCGTGGAGGTCGGGGCGGAGGGAGAGGAGGTTTCCGACCAGGGGAAGTGGTTTGGGGCCTGGGGGCAGCGGCGGCTGCTTGCTTGTCGGATTCTTGACCAGGAGAATCCATGAAAACCACCCGAGAGAGATGAAGGCGCAGCCAGAGATGATGAGAAAGGCATAGTGTTCTTGAAGGGCAGTAATGGAATCAGGAAACATGGTTGAAGAGTTCTCACAACTATATTACTCTACAAGTGGGGAACAATCAACAACTTAGTTTGTGCTTTGGCCCTTTAAACTTGCTAAAAATGTCAATTCCATTTGAACCAATAATATAAGATTATAATTAGATTAGCACTAGAAGATCTTGGAGGTTGGGTTCAACCATTTTTTTTGCTAAAATTCCAACACTAAATACTATAACATGTCTAAAATGACACATTAGTTTTTCCAACTTGAGCAAGATTGTTTCTAAGCTTATAATCTTACTGTTGGTGAAAACAAAAGATGGATCCTATTCTTATCAAGAATATAATGAGTCTCATCCCTGAACAAACGGTTACTGAGAAGAGATAAATTAGATTTTCATTGTAGATTGGTGGCATGAGAATATGAGAATGAAGCCTGCAACTGATATTTACAGAGCCCTCGTGCTTATTATAGTTGCCTCTCACTGCTTTTGGTGCTCACTGCCTTTGCTAACTGCACAACGCCTGCCGGCACAATCATACTCTTATCAGTTATTTGGAGCGATGTAGAGCAAACGTGGTAGTGTGTCTTTTTTTATACCAATTTTGACACCACTTTTTTTATTGATATTTACAAAAATTGGATTGGGTTTTGCTAGTTACACTCATTCTCATTTTGGTTAAATTCACTCATTTTATGTTAAAATGACAATTTCACCCTTCCATGTACAAAAGAGTAAATATAAATACAAGCCAAATTTTAAGAGCAAACTTATACATTTAACATAAAAGAGATGAATTTTGTCAAAATGAAAGTGAATATAACACTACACTATTGGATATTTACACGAAGTATGGGTTTTCCTGAGTAATCAGGAATGAAAGTTTCTGACTAATCCAGACTCCCTTGTTTTGAGGGTTTTCAAAGCTACATATTTTCCCAATTCTTCATTTCTTAAAGCTCGGAAAGGCTGGACTCCTAGTCATTGTTTAAAAAGTACCTTGGCTGCCTAAGACATTATCAAAAGGAGCTTGTTGTCGTATTGGCGATGGAAGAGGGACTAAAGCTTGGGGCATGCCTTGGCTCATAGATGTCACTGTCCCTTTTCTAACCTCACCTGAAAACATGACAACAGAAGGATTATTTGTGGCTGATTTTATTGATTCAAGCTCAAGTAAGTGGAATAATGAGATGCTGGAACAATGGCTTGAGCCGAGGGACATCTTGCAAATCTTGATGATTCTGATTAATGTCAGGGGGGGGAGATTGTTGGTACTGGGCGGGTGACCCCAAGGGAGCCTACACGATGAAAAACGCTTAACGTCAGTCAATGGGAGAGGCAAATATTGGGTCTTCCTTTACTTGTTGGGGGAAATTTTGGCGTATCTTAATGTCTCATAAGGTTCGCATTTGTTTGTGGAGGGCTTTAAGGGACATTCTTCCTACAAAGGATGCTCTTTCGACGAAGGGAGTTGTGGTGGATGACGGCTGCCCTCTTTGTGGGGTGTTTGGGAGACAATTTTTCACATTTTTTGTCTTGTCCTTTTGCTTTGGTCTCTGTTGGGTAAAGGCGGCAATCACACATTGCCTAACTCTTTCCAGGAATGGTTCCAGGTCCGATGTCAAACTGAGTCGCTATCGGAACTTCGAATCACTGCTTGGGCTTGTTGAGCTATTTGGAAGGCGCGTAACTTGAAGCAGAAGGTTATGTTACCCAGAGAGACCAAATGCATGGTGCTGGAGACGGATAGGGCGAGAAATTGCCAGCAACCTCAGGCGTTTCAGACCGGGATGACGCTTCACGCTACAGCTTTGCGGTGCTTCTTTGATGCAGGTATTTTTTAGCGGGAGGGTTGCATTTTGAAGTGTCTATCAATTTTGTGTGTAGAGATAGGAATGAGCGAGGTAGCCCATACCTTGGCTAGATGTGCTCTGAATCAGCCGGGATTATGGGAGTTTACTCCACCTAGATGTATTACTCATTTTATTTCTTCAGAATAAAAGTTATTTTCCTTCAAAAAAAAAGTAACGGAGTGTAATGAACTTCTCTCCTGACTTCAGTGGTAGAATGTCTTTCCCCATGATTCATGACGATGTTCACCCAAATTTGAGCCCCAGCGGAAGCGGAGGCGTTGTGGTTCATCGTGAATCATTAGGTTGCAAAATGCATGAACAGATACTACATTATATTAGAGTCAATAGCATTCAAAAAAAAGTTACGGAATATAATTTGATATCTTCTCCCAATAAATAAAAATAAGCATAGGTAATAGATAATACGGAATAAAAATAAGTCGAAGATAACAGTGCCTAACTAAATGGGCTCGGGTTGGAGTATATTCATAATCAGTCGAAGAAATTGAACCTTTCGATGAGGCCTAATTGCAAATCAAATTTTGTCCATCTTGGATCAGTATCAAAAGCCTAGAAGATATTAGGGTTGTTTATGATATTCGGGTTTGTACTTTTTATTGGGTATCAAAGTTTGAAAATATTGATTGCTCATGAATTAATCAAATTTGTTTCTAAGTTTTTAAAATGCATAAGTCATTTGATTACATGTTTACGTGTGCTTGTTAATAAAAAAAGGAAAAATTATCTCAAATAATCCCATCTTTTCGCGCTCTTTCAAAAATAATCTCACTTTTCACTGTCACCGGAAATAATCTCACCTTTTCGCATGTGTGCGAGTTTTGGGTCACCGTTAAAAAACTAACGGTCACTTATCGGAAATTTTGAAAAATGCCCGTTTTCGCAAATAAATGAAAGGTGGGATTATTTTAGGTAAATTCTCCATTTTTCGTTTTTTAATTTCTTTAAATGTATTTTTATTTTATTTTTTTGGAAAAAAATACCAAATTTAAGTGTTTTTAGAGTGAAACTAATTGTTTTTTTTCAATAACCAATAATATGGTAATAATTAGAAAATAAATTATTCTACACAATAGAACTAATTTATTAACTTCATAACTAACTACTCCCTCCGTTTGAAAAAAGTGTTCCTCTTTTGACTTTGTGTAAAAATAAGGAAGTACGGAGTATTAAATTGTAGTTGACCTTCAATTTTGCCCTTGATGTGATAGGTAAAAGTAAGATTTGATAGATAAATTATTAGAGATAAAGTATGATGTGATAGGTAGGGTATGAAAAAGTAAGGGTAAAGTGGTTTTTTAATAGAAAGTGGAAGTATTTTGTTGGAAGGGAAAAAAATGAAAGAGGAAGTGTTTTTGATAACGGAGGGAGTACATTTTTTTGTAAGTTGCATTTACTGTATTTTTCTTGAGCTGCACTTCAAATTATTTTTTGATACTACATTATTATTATTTCTTAAAAAAATGGCACTACAAAACTTATGAATATTTTTCGATAGTTCTATATAAATATTTTTTGTGAAACAACATTACAATAGTTGTGAAAATAACACAACAATTTTTTTCTCTAAAACAGAACTTTTATTTTTACAACTCACTACATTTTCTGATGTATTGCAATTTTTCCATGAACACTCTGAAATTTCTATTGATAATCTTATATTGCAATAAAATTTTCTTTATAAAACGGAACTACCCAATTTTTGATTTTTTAAATAATTCAATACAAATTTTTCCCCAAAATAGTAATTCAAAAGTTGTGAAAATGACACAATATTTTTTTCTCCGAAACGGAACCCATAAATTTTATAAATCACTACAAAATTTGTTAATCGTTATACAAATCTCTAACAAGAGTGTATTGTTATATTTTTAAAAAATACTAATTTTAAATTCAAAACTAAAAAAGTAAAAAGTAAATTTTTCTAAAATAATCCCACCTTTCATTTATTTGCAAAAAACAGGCATTTTCAAAAACTTCCGTTAAGTGGCCGTTAGTTTTTTAACGGTGACCCAAAACTCGCACACATGCGAAAAGGTGGGATTATTTCCGGTGACAGTGAAAAGTGGGATTATTTTTGAAAGAGCGCAAAAAGGTGAGATTATTTGAGATAATTTTTCCATAAAAAAATTACGTAAGTTTTACATGTTTACCCACTTATTTTTAGTCATTTTTTCCGTTTTTGACCGAATAAATTACAAAAATATCCTTAATCTTTTATGAATATCTATAAATGACATATCTCTCATTTAATTCACTTTTAAATAAACCTCAAGAATCAATCTTAGAAATCTAAAAATAAAATAATCCGTTTATGAATTCTTGAGTTGCACTAAGTAATCGATCGAATTCGTTTTTTATATTATTCAACCTAAGGTTCTTATGACACATTTTTGTGATCTCTATCCCATAATAAATTATGTCATGGTATCAAGGTAGGTTTTGGTCTACCTCGTTTGTCAAGGTGTTTGTCTAGACGTTCATTTCTATCAATCCTAGTCTCCAGCCAAGTTGTCGTATGAAAACGGTCAACGACCCATTTAACTTGACTGTTCGTCTGAAAGTTCATACTCAGCGACTCGTGGTCATATTAGGTGTTGCCGGTGCATTTTCAAATATTGGTTTCAAGGAGAACGAAGTTGAATTGCAAGCGGTTGACCGGTTAAATGAAGAAATGGTTCGACTATCCTCTTGAGGGTGAGTGTTAGAGAGTATCCTAAATCAGAAATCCAAAAATAAAAAAATGAGTTTATAAGATTTTTAGTTGAACTAATTAATCGGTCAGATTCAATCTTTTAAAAGCTATTCCGTGTATGGTGTGCACCAAAAGCTACTCTATATCACATTAGATAAAGCAGGGCCGGCCCCAAAAAATGAAAAAACAAAATTGGCCCGGTCCTAAATTTACATTTTGAGCCCTATTTTAATTTTTTAGAATACTTTTGCTTTAAAATTATTAACAAATTTAAAAATACGGGGCCCTAAAATTTTAGGGTCCCTATGCGGTTGGCCATTTTGCACACCCTCCGGACCACCCATGAGATAAAGTTCTCATATTTTTGCTACCAGAAATCAATTTCGAGACCTCAGGCTTTAACCATTCTTTTCCATACATTAAGAGGTGTTCATGAACATCTACTAGCTTCTCCATCTATAAAAAAACAAAAATCGCAGACTTCTAAATATTTCAAGTTGTTTTCATTCAAATTTTAGAAAAATTAAAAAAGTTTTAGAATCACTGTCAAAGACCATAGACTTAAATTAATGAAAATATTTTCTGTGATCCTTAGATGATCGATACATGTCTATTTTATGGATCCTCATATATAAAATAATTTTATGTATTAGGTCATTTAAAAATAAGAAGATATAACTATTAATCCATGAAAAATATAAGAGAATGTCCACATTTCAAATACGACCTTAGGATCACAAGAACTGAACTCCAAAATACTCTCCAATATAGTGCGGAATAGTGGATTTGAGAGGAACCGAAAGCTGTGTGTAAAAAAGGATAAACCGGAAGTCGTGGTGTAAAGGTGGAACGCCCACCCAAGGTGCCCCCACACCTCGATCCGACAGGGACTGTGGGGGGGGGGGGGATTCTGAACGGATACGCTGGTTGATGAAATAACCAACTTTCGGGTAACATTCGAATATTGATTCTCTAAGATTTGAATGTTTAATGGCGGATTGGGTTGATTGGTTCCTTGTGAAATTAAGTGTGAATCGTTGCAACCTATCGCGGAACATTCAAATGTTTGGTTTCAGAAATTCAAATGTATTGAGCAGTTTTCCTCAGGATGCGCTGGATAATTTCAACATTCGAATGCATTGATTTGTACATTCGAATGTTCAAAATAAGACATTCGAATGTATTGATTTCTACATTTGAAATCCATATACGAAAATCTAAAGGATTTTCATAAAACAACGATGTCCAAAGCAAGATTTCCCCCTGGCGAGAGGCTCTACTATGCCCCTTGGGTTGCTACCCTTGGACCTCTTCTATTGAATTTGTAATATCGCTAAACGAGCATTTACTTTTAACCTCCGATCCAAACTTGTTAACAACGTCTATTAAAATTCTCGTTCATTCTAAGTAAATCCAATTATATAAAATAGCTGATGATACAAGAATGACCAACAGTCACAATGAGAGAAAAGCATGAGAAAGGAGAAAAAGAAACAAATGACAAAAATATCTCAAGATTCTTATTCGATCGTTGGTGTCTTGACTACAACATATATAGAGGAAGTAAAAGAGGGCTAACTAATAACTAAACAAATCCAACAACCATAACAAACTGAAAATGGAAGATATTTGAGATAATAATTAAGAAATCTACTCTACAACCTCCATGTTAAATTTAGTTAAAAAGGCTTCGGCATTTCCCTTGGCTTGTCCTCACTTGCGTCTTGTATAGTTGTATACTTGTATGCGTAAATAAGCTCACTAGAAGAATTCATTTGGTTTTGTCAAAGAAACCAACCACAATCACAAAATTTCTATTAATTAGTAGGGACTCCTAACACAACCAGAAATAGAAAATAGAAACTGATTAAAATACCACATCTACCATGAATAGAAATAAGAAATTGACTAATAATCAAGTGCTAGCATAACCAATACTACCATAAGTAATACTAGTATTATTGTCTAATATCCCTCTAAAGCTGAACTTTGGTTGAAACAAGAAGAACTTGAGACACTAGCTGAAAACTAGAAGAGAGAAGTCTGACATGCGCTGGTAGCTGCTGTTGTCGTTGGAGAAGAGAGAAGTCTGACATGCGCTGGTAGCTGCTGTCGTCTTTGAAGAAGAGAGAACGGCTTGAAGTGTGCATGTAGCTGTTGACGTCGAAGAAGAACAGCGAAGGCTATTGGAGATGCATGTTTGATTGAAGATCCTTGACATTATTTGTCTTTTTCTAGAATCTGGGCAATGCCCAATTTCTTTTCTCAATTAAGAAAATTTGTATGTTTTTCTTGAAGGGTTGAATTTTAAAGTTTTCCTTCCTAGGTCTCTATTTCCCCTCTTGGCCTTGTTTTTATTTTGATTTACTTTGGGTTTTTTATTGGTTATACAGAAGAGAAGGGGAAGGAAGATTGATGATTAAAATGAGTAATTGAGAGTCAAGATTTACCTCCACTAAAATTTTTTGGACGAGGTCTTAGGGGTTTAGGATTAGTTCTACGTAAGCTGGAAAATCTAATGTATAAAAAACCCTACCCCGCTCAGATGGAATAAGTGGACTCACAAGTAATTCGATCATAAGATAATTTACTATGGAGAAGCCCCAGTCAGGTTCGAGTTCGGTCACTTCGAGTTCGGATTACTTTGAGTTCGGGTCAATTCGGGTTCGGATTGAGAACTGTATGTTCATGACCCAGTTTTATCGGGTTCGAGTGGATCCAATGGACTATGGCTTTGGTCTTTTAAATTTTTAAATTCATATTAATACTTTCATTTTGCATTAAATAAATTTAAAATATCAAATTACTATGTATAAAATTTATTAGATTATTTTATTTTAAATTCTGGAGTAATTTTTAGATATATAAATCAATATAAAGAATTAAATAAAATGCATAAGTTTTGGAAAAATGTAAGATATTTATGTAATGTCATTAAAATTTTGTCTGAAAATATAAATTTACACACTAAAAACCAGTAGTAAACGAAAATATAATTATAGCCTTATTTTTATAACATTATATTTCATAGTAAAGTACGTATATCATTTTGAAAAATTCTTACATTAGCGGGTCGGTCAGGTCGGGTTCGGATTCGGTCGGATTTGACCCAATTTTAGCAGGTCATTTCGGATTCGATCAACTTCGAGTTAGGTCATCTAAACCTTTGTTCAAAACCTAGTGTTTTTGGATCGGGTTTCAAGTCAAAAAACAGGTCGGGGCATTTTTTTTGTCAGGAGAAGGAGACTATGATATCGTATCAAAGAGTTAGTAATTAATTCATCAATATAATTTCAAGTTTATAATCATAAATTCATCCATATAAATTCAAGTTTATAATTATAGAATGTGAAGTATTTCCTCCGTCTCTAAGTATTTGTCCAATTTTGACTTTTTTCGGTCAGCTCTTTTCAACCTTTGACGTACCACTATATAAAATATATATTGTATATTAATTAGATAAAATAATATTTTGAAATATTTGATATAATAAATCCAATAAAACCATTTTTGTATCAATATCTAATACTTCCTCCGTTCCACAAAACCCTTCCGGTTTTGACTTTGGGGAAAAATAAGGAAAGTGTAATTTTGGTTGACTTTCCAATTTTGTCCCTGATGTGATGGGAAAAAGTAAGATGAGATAGTTTGATTATTAGTGAAAAACTATGATGTGATAGGTAAGGTATGAAAAAGTAGGGGTAAAAGTGATTTTTTAATAGAAAGTGGAAGTGTTTTGTGGAAAGCAAAAAAAACCGAAAGAGGAAGGGTTTTGTGGAACGGAGGAATCAGAGTATCATTTTTGTTTAATTTAAGATCAAAATTTATCAATTTTAACTGAAAAAAGTCAAAAGCAGACAAATACTCAAAGAAGACGGAGAGAGTATATTCTAACGAAAACGAATCCATATTAGGAAATTAAACAAAAAGTAGTTTTCTTAATTCACAGTTGTACGTATTTATACATGTAATCCATTCACAGTTGTCTCATAATCGATCATGTTACCCTTGTGTAGCATGACTACTCAGTGTACACCCAACAAAGAAGAACGTACCTTAGCTTGTGGTTTTTAATTTGTCGTCCCTGTTCGTATAATCCTAGCTGGCTACACCATTATATTATATTCCTCGTCACATTTATTTTTATTTTACATAATTAATTCAATCATACGTCGTTGAAGTTATTGTGACTTGTCTCGAGACTCTAACGTGTCGAAAATGTGCATTTCTTTGTCCCCGGAGTCCGAAATAGGCATATCCAAATCCAATCCGAAATCCGGCAACCCAAACCCTTGGCAGTTCAACAACCAATCCATGCAATCTTCGTCCAATGGTGGAATAATAAGCTGATCATCGTCAAAGATGAACGACTGTTGGTCAACGTCAGTCGATTGTGGGAGGTCCCGGTCCCACGGTGCATGCACCGGGGGTGCATGGTTTTCGAGTAGGGAGCTGAGCAGGGGATCCTCCCCATCGCCTGTGGTATCTATGATCACCAGCTGGGATTCGTTTGTGTTGGTTATGGACGAGGAACAATTCTCATGCGGCGAGCATGAAGAAGAGCTTTGCTCTTCTGAGGTGACTGTCGTGGGAGTTGTACCTTGAGGTACAACTTTCACTGGTTGCTCATCACCGTATTCTTTGTCAAACTTTGACCGGGAAGTGGTCTCATTTTTAGTTGTTGTCGATGATTGTACGTCACTCGTTGCCTTCGCGTCCTTGTTGAGAGGCTCGTGCGTGACCGGATCGATTCCCATCTTTAGAAGTTTTTTCTTGATATGTGTGTTCCAATGATTCTTGATCTCGTTATCTGTTCTTCCTGGCAATCTTGAAGCAATCTTTGACCATCTGATAAAAAAATGAAAAACGTCTTAGCTTTATTGTAAATAAAAAGTTTTACTTCTAGCAAGACTAGTATTTTTTTTTTTGAGAACCTAGCAAGACTAATATAATGCAGAGTATATAAGAATATGAATTACTCTTGACTTTAGTTAGTTGAAATCTCATTGTTCTACATAGTATCAGCGCGGCCTTGGTGAGAATCTCATAATTAACTCACACAAACGTTTCTAATAATTTGTTACAATAGAACTTCTTCCATTTAGGAGAATTATTCGTCTAGTTTAATTTTTAGAATCAAACTTGGTAAACTTTATCATATCATTGATTATATAAAAGTTATACATCATATTTATACATTGAAATAATATTTTAACATTTTTCTACAAAATAAATCTAATGAAATTATTTTTATACGAATATTTTATTTAATTAATAATTAAAGTTTAACGGCTATGATTGAATAATTAAAATATAAAGAAATCACCCAAAATTAAAAAAACATAACCCTTAACTTATTGCAAAATAAAAACTATTGGCATTACATAGATCCTATTTTAGTGGTTAAAACATAAAATTCCTATTTTGTTTTCCTTACTATGTTTTAATTTTATTTAAGTCCATTTCCCTAAATTCAAACTAAAAAAATGAGATAGAGGCTAGCTAGGTAATACATGCTTCATGAGCCGAAAGCCAAAGTTAGGTGTTGAAAATGATAATGATCGATATGGTAGGTCACCAACACTTGAAAGGATTGAAGCATGAAGATAGCGAAAGACACGAGTATTGAAACATTTTTTTTAAACAATTTTTTTTGAATGGTAGTGCGTCTATTATAAGGTAGTATCTGTTCATACTATTCTTAATCTAATGACGCACAAAGAAACAATACTTCTGTCTCTGATTGGGTTCGAACCCGGGTGAACTTCCGCATGAATCCTTGAGAGTGGGCCTCATAACGCTCAAGCCACGGGAGACGAAATTCGGAGTATTGAAACCTTAATATTCAATCAACTATAATTACTAGAGCTTTAACCATTCTTTAGTCTTTTTTGTTTTTTTAATTTTCTTTTTAGATAGATGTAAATCTCTAGGAAATTCAAACATAAATACTTCCTCCGTCCCAACTTAATCTCCCTATTTACTATTCATAGGATCTATCAATTAACTCTTTTTTTTTCTATTTTCATCTATTAGTCAATAAAAGAAAATAACCTTGTCACGAGTTGTTCTGTAGAACTTTTGATGTATATAGAGTAGTCTTTTTACATGATACTCCTTCCGTCCACAAAACTTTTCTCCTTTCTTTTTCCACTTGTCCCAAAAAACCTTTCTCATTTTTTTTAAAAAATCACTTTTACCCATACTAATTCTTAACTTACCTATCAAAGCATACTTTTTTACTATTAATCTACACATCACATCTACTTTTACCAATCACATCCAAGGGCATTTTGGAAAGTACACACCAAAATACACTTCCTCGAAATCTTTTAAAGTCAAAACAAGAATAGTTTTGTGGGATGGAGGGAGTATAATTTTATTTTTAGTTCTACACGCACTAATTTTCATTTATATTAATTTGAAAATAATTTCAATCAACAATCGTAAACCGCAATATGAAGATTAATTTGGGAGGAAGGTAATATATGAAAAGTACTGAAAGGGTGTTATTGTCCATCCATGTTCGAAATTACAAAAAATATACTCCCTCTGTCCACCATAGATCTTCCCAGTCACTTTTCATAGGGTCAAACTTCACTTACTTTGTTTGCTCATTTTTACTAGTCCTTTTGTAAAATAATATAGTCTTGTCACCTCTAGTTTTGTAAAATTTTTCATGTAGTTTATTACTCCGTACTATATAAATTTTATTTTAAAATTTTACTCCTATAATCAATTAAATTGAATTAAAAATAAAGTCGATCAAGTCTCGTAATGCGTAATGGGAAGATCTTAGGTGGACGGAGGGAGTATTTCTACAAGTGTGTTTGTTATACATAATGATGTTTAAATATACATATTTAGAGATGGAGGAAGCATCGGTGTATTAATCAAAACGATGAGCGAGAATGAAGAAAGTTTGAAAGCAGGAGAAGTAACGGTGCACAATAACCAAATTATAGGAGTACCAGTGCAATAAAAAAAGAAAATAATATGGTTGACATTTATATAGAAAAAAGAAAAATATTATAAACCATACAATATAATCCATTCAATTCTTTGAGAGACTTTGATTGTATTTCACGTAATTAAATATATAGGTCAATTGAAAAGATGAAAATGATCATCTTCCTAAAGGGATTTGAAGTTTAGATAGGTTCAAAGAAAAGACAATTGATAAATACGTACTGGCTAGATGTCCCTTTTTAGTACCAGATTTGAGTCGTTTGGAAGAGCAGCAAGTTACATACAATTATGCAACCTATGAAAAATATTTGTGCGAATATAATATACTTAAATAATTAAATTTATAAGTCACGCATTGCTGATTTGATTTAAAACTTGTTTAATTATCAAAATTTTAACAATTAGTCCATTTAATTTGGATAAAAATGTCCCAAATTTTATTAACAATTATCTAAAAAAATACACTATCAGTAGCATACATCGACAATATAACAATGGTCGATATATACTGAACTTCGGCCGCTTTCTCACGGTGACACAAAATTTTGATAAGTCATGTGCGATTGTACTTCTCCAACGCGCTCAAAGCCCCCACTAATATATCTCACCAAACCCAATTTGGAGTTACCCAAATTAAACAATAATTAACTATATTTGAATGATAATTTGATTAATTTCAAAAGTTTCAAATAGTGTGCATTAAAATGATCTTTAAAAGATAAGTTTAATTAGAATTCAAAATCTTTCATTGATATAGGAAGTAATTTGGACGTTGGGTCCTCCTCAATTTAGACATGCAAAAATAATGTACCAAATGAAGGATTGTTGACGTGGTTTGTCCTAAAGAAAACATAGGATATGATATATTGATGAATAGGACACGTGATGAATTACATGTCTATCTTTTCTAATAGATTTTTTTTATCTTCTTGAATTTTTTTGACCGTTAATAACTCTATTATAATATAATGTAATATATTTATTTATACATTTTCAACTAATTAAGAATATAGAGTTATTATTCTCACTAGGACGGTCTTTGGCTATGTACTTGATGATTGACCTTGGTTTTAATCATTTGCTCAATCTCTCATTCATGTAAGATAATTAATTAACATAAAGTGTGGTCTCTTTCTTATAAAAAAACGAAAAAAAGTAGTAGAAGAATCATTTTCTTTGACCAAATAATATTAGAATCAATAATATTTAGACAATGTATATATACTCCATTCACGAAGTATAATATATACAAAGTATTAAAAATTAAAAATTTTGGACAACGAAAAAATGGGTCGGGGCAGGTAGGGTTACTTAACTCGGCCCTCCCTTGGACCGGCCCCGAATATCACTATATCTTTGAAGAGGCATGTGATGAAAGTTGAAATCGCCAAAGGTGCATTGTTCTAAAATAAATTATAGGCCTCATTTGGAAGGAATATTTTCAATTAACGTCATAGGCTTAGAATTAATTCGAGGCAAAATCGGAAAATCAAATTTTTATTTATATAAAAAAAGAAATTTCCCTTTAATGAGCTAATAAGCTAGGTAAGAATAAAATGAGAAGAGTATTACTAACCTATTACCAAGATGAGCATGGAGGTCAATGACCAATTTCTCCTCGGCATCGCTTAGAAGGCCTCTCTTCAAGTCCGGCCGGAGGTAGTTTGTCCACCGGAGGCGGCAGCTCTTGCCGCAGCGGCGGAGGCCGGCGAGCTTCGGGACGGCCCGCCAGCAACATTGGCCATTGGTGAGGAGGAAGGCGATGAGCTTGCCGTCTTCCTCCGCCGTCCACGGCCCCTTCTTCACTCCAAGTTTATCGCAACAAGGTTGCCTTCCCATAATAATACTAATAATAATAATAACAATTTACCCCACCACTTGCTTTTTAACTATAAATATTTCCCTAGCTTTTGGTCTTATTTATTTACTACAAGTAGAGAAATTAAGTTTATAGTTTGATATGCTAAAAATATTCTCCAAGTCCCTTACTACTACACCCACCTTTATATACCAAACCTCACCTACCTTTTGTTCTCACTTGATTTTTTTTTTTTTTGTACAAAAAATAAAATAAAAAATGATGATGATATACGGGCACACCATCCGGGACGTACGCATCTTGCCACACTCGAGAGGGACTCATCACGCATGAGAGAGGGTGTGACTATAGACTATATAGTGGCGGATCCAGAAACAAATTTTGCTCGAATATAATTATTTCTTGTTGCATAAAGTCTAGCTATTTTGTCAAAAACCAACTAAACCAAAAGCTCAAGCTTGTGCTTGTTGTAAGTTCGTGGGGCGCAGCTGATAACACCAAACACAAGCTATGCAAACAAAACAATCAACTATGTTGTAGAGAAGATGCTGCAGCATTGTCACAGTAACAGATGACTGACAGAGTGCTATAACACCTTCTCTGTCATAAGCACACACGTAGAATATAAAGTAAAAACAGCAAGCAAGACACCAGAATTGTTCATGCAGTTCGGAGCAAATTCTCCTACGTCTGCAAGGCCCACGTCCGTGTAATAGCTCTTCCACTAAATCACCGTAAGAATTACACAATCAATCACAACAGAACCTTCTAATGTATTGATTTGTCTACTTACGAATGACTTGACGACAAACTCGGTTTGCGTCTATCTCCACGGCTTATTACACCTTCTCAAAGATCTTCTTCAAGGACATAGATTCCAATACACCTTCAAATAAAGATTCTCCTTGATCTACAAAACTATGCAGGCTGTTCCGAAGCTCATAACTCGAGATTGAACCGTTGAAATTCGATCTCCATTGTTCAGATTGAAGCTCCACGAGTCCTTAGACTCCTCCTAAAATTTCAGCACGATCAGACAAGATTTGGTACTCCGATCGTCCACAAAATCAGAGCTGCGTTCTGTGCAAAAAATCAGCGGCAATATGCAGATTGTAACTTCAATAACAGAAGATCCGTAACTCCGATTGACGTGAAATTTTAACACGTTGAATCCCTATGTGTTTGAAACACTCTATGAAAATTTCAGCAAAATCCAACGGTTGGATCTTCGGCGAGGATCAAAACAGTGCGGGCTGTCCAGAAAATTTTCAGTCTCAAAATATGCACCTTGTTTTTCTTTTGATCGGATTTGTTTCAGGTTTTTCTTAGTTTTGCACGTCCAAAACCCTAAGGGAGGGTGAATACAATATATAGAGTATATGAACCTTGTTAGAGTGTGCTTAGGAGTCTCACACATGCCTTCCTCCTCAAGAATAGTAAACCAAGTAGGATTAGACTTCTTTCTTCAAGCTCTTTCCTCTTTCTCTTTCTTCACAAGCTAGAACTCTAAGTCTAAATAAAATATCTAAAATAATTCTAGGTAAATCTATTCATTTGTCAAAAAATAATGCCAACACAATATAGAACTAACAGTTGTGGCCTAGGAAATGTCACTACAAGAAAACGCCAAAACAACGACGGATTGCAGCGACAGAATTTAGTTCGACGCTAATAGCGACGGATTTAGCGACGGAAGGGTACTCCAACCAAAACTAACGACGGAAAAAAAGGTCCGTCGCTCAGTATTGGCGGGAGGTTGTACGCGGTATTTTTGACGACGGAATTACCGACGGAATTTCCCGTCGTTAATGTTAGCGATGGAAAATTTCCGTCGCTGACCGAATTTTATTGAAACGCTGCGTTTTGGCTTGGCGACGGAATATATCCGTCGCTTCAAAAACAGATCTATATCCCGATTTGCAGACAGAAATCGTCGTCTCCGCGTGGAGTCTGAGGTCTGCTGTCCAAATCGTCGTCGAACCTCCGCCGCCGCGCCATCCGCTCGTCGTCTCCGCCCGCCACCATCAATCGCCGGTCCTCGTTGCTGTCCGGTCATCGTCAGGGCTTTCACTCCATCTTCAAATCTCAGGTTTTTTTCCTTTTTTATTTTACATTTAAAGTTGTAAACAAATTAGACTATAGATTATCTTTTTACATTCGAATTAACAATTATTATTGTTTGATGATATAATTAAAAAGTATATTATTATGTGTAAACTTTTGACATTTTCTTTTAAATTTGAAATTATTGAAATTAGGGTTTTTTCCCCAAAAAATTTATCATTTTGTTTAAAAAAAAAACTTAATTATATGCTTGAAACTTTTAGTGAATGAATATTATGCTTATTAATAACATATTTTAGATATTGTAGATGCTAGATGAGGATTATGTACGTATTATGTATTTTTTGAATATTGTAGTTCTTGTGCTTTTATATTTATTTTTTTAGTTTTTTGTAATGAATTCTATAACTTAATAGTATGTCAATTTTATTTTTTTGAATTTCTTAGAATGAGTGACTTTCACGAAAATCGAGATTGGATGTATAAAAGACTTGATAGCTCAGGTTTTATAAATACAGATTGGGTTGACAAAGTTAGACAATTCATTGAGTTTTGTGAGTCAAATCCAAAAGTAGACAGATTCAACGGGCAGATGCGTTGTCCTTGTAAGATTTGTAAGAATAAATATTTTAAAGATATCGAGGACATTAAGCTTCATGTACTGAGACAAGGT